TAATGAGATCCTACTGCTAATCTTAACCTACCAGAAATATTCTGAACAGACGTAACTCATTTTAAAGTTGCACAACATTGCAAAGTATGGATATACCATAATTCAGTACAATTATTTCCTATCTTAGGAACTCCATTTGTTTCCATGGTTTTGCCACTATAAATAGTATCATACTATTAACAGTTTTATATTATTTTTTAAAAAAGTATTCTGAACAGTTTTGCGTCTCAAAACTACTTAAAAATATACAAACTTTTAAAGGAAGTTCAAAACAATTTTCCCCCACCCCAATCTACCAACAACATGCAAAATGTGGGCGATCACAATTACAAAAACCACTTTAATATGTACTGGCCACTGGACAATATTTCTGTGTTTGTTTTTTTGCATGAATTCTGGTAAGGTATTTTACTGAAAGTAGTAAATTGGGGAAATAAGTATACTTATATGATCTATTTAATCAAAGTTATCTGTCCTTTCCCTTTCTGATGTATTTCTACTCCAAAAGGAGATTTTAAAAGCTGGCTTTATCAAAGCATTTAAAATATTTCATCACAGTATGGGATATCTTTCATTTTATTTATGATTAAAAAGAAAAGGAGCTAGGAAAGGAATTTTTACACTGATGCAATTAAGCAGCTGACTTTTTTTAGGACATCAAATTTATGGATAGGAATAGCTAAAATCGCTTTTTCAGTTTCCGTGATTATATAAACAATTATCTGTCATCAGGCAAAAATGACACAGGTCATATAGTATCATACCATCCCCCCTTTAATTTATAATGATACAATAGAATAAAATATCCTACTTGGGGGTGGGGGAAATCAATGAAAAACAGTTCACAGTCCACTTATGTGCCATTACAGAATACCTGGGGGTTCTCTCCCACCATTAGTTGCCATATCGCTTTCTAGGCATGATACAGAAATAAGTTCAGATATTTTATACAATTGCAATAAAATATGAATAAATATATTCCACAAAGATTACCTTTGGTTTAGAATGGAAGGTTGTTCAATGTTCCATCCACCTCCGTTTCCAGTAAGCATGGTAACTTGTTTGGTCAATTTATTTGAAATGTCTTCACATTTGTTCATAAGCCTTATAACTACATCTCTTTCTTGGATCAGTGTTTTACAGTGCCATATCAAATCTTCTGATAAGCCATTAGTTTTGGACATCTTTGTGAACTATGGCACAAAAAGAAAAATAATTGAATAGTTCAGATCTAGGAAAGAGAAAGGCAATCCTGATTTCTTTATGAGGAAAACAGGTTGGCTAATTTAAACTTTGACTTGGTGAGCTTATAATCAACTACTAGAGAATCTGACTCTTCATGTTTATAATTGAATTGCTACATGTTTCTCTTTTATATTCTACTGTCACACATCAAACTCATTATGTTAAAACAAAATATATCTTACTTCAAAAAATGCATAATCCCAAACTTGTTACTTTGACCCTGGCAAAATTCTCTTATAGGGGAAACATTAACACATAATTGTTACTATCTCCTATCAAGTTTTTAAAAACATTTCAAAATCTTAAATTCACTTTTCCCTAATACCAAAGGTAACAGTATCAAATGTAGTCACTGCAAACTCCATCTCCATTTGTCATTTCCTATGACTATTACATATTAAGATTAATCTTCTTAAAACATATTTTTCCACATCTATCATCAAAGTGTAGCCCCTCAAGTTTTCAAAACTCCAATTATTTGTCACTTGATGTTCTACTCCTAAATAGAGACTACCAGTGGAAAGATATTACATGAATCAAAAGTTAACTATGACCAATTTAATAATCAACTAAGGTTTTAAAAAAATACAATTTCAACATAAAACTATAAATGGTTCTCTTTGAAAACTCACAGAACTTCTCTTTCAAAATACAGTTGTATTTATTTTTCAAAAGGAGGCACTGAATACTTCCTATATAAAAGCTATATCAGAATTATAATTTTTTAGATAGATAGTTGAAAAAAAATATATTCTAAAGAACACGACAAAAAATATTTTTAGTGAAGAAGATGAGAAACCCCAAAAGTTATTTGAAATATTTGGGGCAAAACTGAAAATCCTGTAAGCCAGAACCGAATGTAAAAAACTAAAATAAAACCATGTATTAGGAAAACACCACATATAAGTTTTATTCGTGTGATCCTATTTAGCATATTTTTCCAAGTTATAACAAGAATCACATTAACAACTCTAATCACTATGATCACAGTATTTCTAAGTTCAGCAAAAGGCTCAATCAATAGTAATTAAATACTTTCGGGATATGCTAAGATAATTTAATAAAATACAGTTTATAACAGTATACATTTTCCATATTTATCCTAGAAAAACTTGGCAAGATACAAAATATCCAATCTATTCTTAGCACTTCAAAAATGGCACTGTAAATAAAATACTAAGTTTATTTGCACACTACATTTTTCACAGGGACAATATTGATAATCACAATGTGATCTCCCACTCCCCCTACTTTGCGCTTTTCAGGGGAAAGATCTATGCATAAGCAGCAGTATAAATAAGAATCAGTGTCTTAAGGAGGTTCTATTAGAACTTTTAGCTAAAATACTTTCATTTTTAAATGCAGTAAAAAATTATAGGCCCAAAATCCAATCTCAAGCTGGTTGTAGTACGTGTGTGTAATATACATACATGTGAGACAAAAAAAAAAACAAATTAACCAAAAAATAAGGAATGAACATACATAGCCATTTATGTGCTAGAAACTATTGGATACCTCTTATTCAGTAATTCATTTAATCCTCATAACAATTACAAGACTAGTCTACCAAATCTAGATGAAAATACTAAGGTTCAATTTCAAACAGTCACAAAGTTGGGTAAAAGAAAAAGTCCATAATCTTTTCACTAACTAGAACTTCTCTAAATAAAATAATTTAAGACCTTAAAAGTTCAAAATAAACTTTTCTTTCTGTAACCAACTACCATTTATTATGTTCTTATTTCTTAACAGAAATTACTCTAACTGGTGAAGTATCTGATAGATAGACACAGCCCCTGTCCTTGTGGTCTATGGTCACTGGGAAACACAAGTAACAATTTCAAGGGTAACCCTCTGGTATAAACAAGGGAAAGAGCAAAAGTTCATGGGCACTCATCACAAAAAGACTAGTAACATCTAAGACCTAGTAATTCCTTACAGAGTAAGAAGGCCAGAAATAATAAAAGAACTGTTTTAATGGAAAGATAAATTCAAATGTCAGAACCTAGAGAAGCAAAGGACAAGTCTGAACAGGAAGGCACTAAGGGTATGAATCATTTTGATGAGTTCTAAACGGAACTTACGGGCATTAAAAAGCTGTTGAAAGGTTTTAGGCCAGAAAGTGAAAAGATAGAGAGTTCCTGCTTAGACAGAACTCTACAAAAGCAATGTGAAGAAGGCTTGAGAGCAAACAACTATTAAGAAGGCTATGAGTTGAGAGACAATAAGAAACTGATGGTCAGGCGCGGTGGCTCAAGCCTGTAATCCCAGCACTGTGGGAGGCCGAGGCGGGTGGATCACGAGGTCAAGAGATCGAGACCATCCTGGTCAACATGGTGAAACCCCGTCTCTACTAAAACTACAAAAAATTAGCTGGGCATGGTGGCGCGTGCCTGTAATCCCAGCGACTCAGGAGGCTGGGGCAGGAGAATTGCCTGAACCCAGGAGGCGGAGGTTGCGGTGAGCCGAGATCGCGCCATTGCACTCCAGCCTGGGTAACAACAGTGAAACTCCGTCTCAAAAAAAAAAAAAAAAAAAAAAAAAGAAACTGATAGATTCATGATCTTCAGGAGGTAGAATACATTAAGTGTGGGGAGATGAGTGAAAAGAGTTAAGCCTGACTCCCAGAATTCTGGTTTCAATATAACTGATTAGTAATACCAGAGGCGTCTAAAATATGAGGGGCCCAGGTGGGTGGATCACTTGAGGTCAGGAGTTCAAGACCAGCCCCGCCAACATGGCAAAACCCCGTCTTTACTAAAAACACAAAAATTAGCTGGGTGTGGTGGTGGATACCTGTAATTCCAACTACTTGGGAGGCTGAGGCAGGAGAATTGCTTGAATCTGGCAGGTGGAGATGGCAGTGAGCTAAGATCATGTCACTGCACTCCAGCCTGGGTGACAGAGCGAGACTCTGTCTCAAAAAGGAAAAAAAAAACCTGAGAGGAAATTTAGGCAACTGGAAAAGACTTTAGAGTTGACATAATGACAAATATACGGAAAAATAAGCAAACAGAAAAACCGAGACAACTAGAAAAATGATGAGAAAAAAACAAAAAATAATCATGTCGTATACTACATGGTTCTTCTGTGAAAGGCATTTGCATAGTCATAACAATGCAGACACTAAAAATTATCTTCGAAATTACCATGTTATTAACATATATTAATAGAACTGGGGAACAGAAAATGGGCAAGTGAAGTGAGAGACTGCGAGAGCTAAATCCTATTGTCTATAACATTAAGTTGATAGATATGACCTACAAATGACAACAAAAAAAAGGGCATTATATTACCTCAAGATATGGAGGTGATAAGAACAATCAGACAAAAGCCATGAAATAAGTTATCTGCAGTGTGGGCAACAGGCTGGGGAAAAGGGTGTATATGGATTTTCTCGGGGGTGCGGGGACAAGCCTATAGAATTATTTGTGAATCTAAGTACATGTGTAAATAATAAAAGTAAAAACATTAACAAAAAGTAAAGAAACTCAATAGCTGGCAGAGTGCAGTGGCTCACGCCTGTAATCCCAGCACTTTGGGAGGCCAAGGCAGGAGTTTCAGGCCATCCCAGTCAACATGGTGAAACCCCATCTCTACTAAAAATACAAAAATTAGCTGGGTGTGGTGGTGCGCACCTGTAGTCCCAGCTACTCAGGAGGCTGAGGCAAGAAAACTGCTTGAACCTGGGAGGCGGAGGTTGCGGTGCGCCGAGATTGCGCCATCGCACTCCAGCCTGGGCAACAAGAGTGCAAAAAAAAAAAAAAAAAAGAAATAAAGAAAGAAACTCAGTAGTTAATATCTTCATTAATTTGGGGATGGGGAAAGAGAGGCTCTCATTTAAGGAAAGGTATAAGTATACTCTACTGCCACCAAGCTACAGTTTTATGAACACAAAAATCACTTCACAATCCTGTAAGTTACTTAACTTCCCCCCAAAAAGGATCTCAGAAATACAAAGTACCAGACAAATGCGGGATCTGTTAGTAAATCTAAGTTATTGAAAAGCACAAAAAAGATGATCCCGTTTACATGGTATGAAGTATACAAATGTATACATAAAGACATAATGCTCAAAACAACTGAAATGGTGGGTTTCTTTGGTAGAATTTAGGATAAACCTTACATTTCTGCAGATACTGCTTCAATCTTGGATAAAAGGAATCATTTTCAAAAAATGATAAATCTCTTTTTTCAGGAGGAAGAAAGTATAAAAGGCAACTGCTACCTGCTGAATAAATTACATGAAAAAAAAAAAAAAAAAAAAAAACCTCATCAATATGGCCCTGATCGTGATCTCTTCATTAAAAACTCAAGTTATCAAAGGACTTTTTTCTTTCAAAAACAGTCAACAACTGAAGTATGGCCCTGATCGTGATCTCTTCAATAAAAACTCAAGTTATCAAAGGACTTTTTTCTTTCAAAAACAGTCAACAACTGAAGTATCCCTCTCTTGCCACAGTGTGTCACTCTTACTGTACAAATATTTTTGAATTTCCATAGGACAGGGGAAACTGTTTAAAAGCCGATTTAATTTTCAAATTATTAATCCCCACTTGCCAAAAGGCAGCCCTGAGGACAGAGTCCTAGGCTTATTCATTATTATAAATACCTGGCAGCACCTACAAAGTACTCAAAATGCACTTGTAATTTTTTAAATACAAACTTATCAAACTTACAGAAATTAAAACAAATCTTGAATATAGTAATCTTATAAATAAATTCACTAATGCCACCTTATCCAGAAGGAAGAAATATGATTATGATGCTTTAAGTGGCCAATTTAGGCAGGCATTTTACAAAAATCACCAGTTAAAGCAAACGGCCAGGTGCAATGGCACAAGCCTGTGATCCCAGCACTTTGGGAGGCTGAGGCGGGTGGATCTGAGGTTAGCAGTTCCAGCTCAGCCCAACCAACATGTTGAAAGTCCGTCTCTACTAAAAATACAAATATTAGCAGGGTGTGGTGGCAGGAGCCTGTAATCCCAGCTACTATGGAGGCTGAGGCAGGAGAATCGCTTGAACCTGGGAGGCGGAGGTCGCAGTGAGCCAAGATTTCGCCATTGCACACCAGCCTAAGTGACAAATTCCATCTCAAAAAAAAATAAAATAAAATAAATAAAACAAAAAACAACCCAACAACAACAAAAAACAAACAAAAAAGAAAATCAGCAATCTAGCAGATGAGAGATGAGAGTAACACAATGAGGAGCATAGTGTTTGACCTGGACTAAACCTGAATGCTTAACAGCCAAGAAAAACCGAATCTACACTGATCTAAATGTTAACAAAGTCGATGCATATATGAAAGTTGTCAGGTTGAGTTACTGACGCATGTTGCATTGGTCAGCATAAAAACATTACTACTCTGATTAACATATAAAGATGCAACATAGTAAGATTTTTCACAGACATACTAATATTTACCCTACTGTGTGCAAGGCTAGACAAAAATCCAGTAAGTGGCTGGTGAAATGACGGCATCTAATGTGTGAAATTTGGCAATAAAATCTCTAATTTTACCACAATAACAGTACCAGTTTTTAAACTAATGGCATTTTTGGCTTGCTATATTTCTGAAGGCGACTTGATTTAATGATGAGGTTTTCTCACAGTGAGCACCTACATTACTATTATGCAGAAAAACTAGAAGTGGAAAAAATTATGAAGAAAAATTTAAAAACAATATTTAAATTTTGATTCAGAAAAAAAAATGATTATAAAGCTGCAAGCATAAATATCCTCTTAGGTAGTGTACTCTAAAAAAAAAATCAAATTTTCCTCCTGTAAGATGGGAGTGACTAAAATATCTCAAGAGTCTTTTAGTTTCAAAAAGCGTGATTATCTGACAAATAAGTAATAATATAGAATAGTAGTAACCTCTAGATTTAAAATTACTATAATTAGATTACCAAGTAGGTGACATAAGTATATTACATTTACTTATATATCATATCTATTACACTTATATTACCTTATATGTCTACAACCTTGAAAACAATCAATGATCAACAACTTTTCAAATGTTGTTTTAAAAGGCACAACTAACATAATTTTCACATTTAAATTACTTTTATAAGACCATGAAATACTAATGATTACATTTAATCATTTAATAATTACCAATGTTAAAGAAACCTCACTTTTAATAAAAATTACTATTTTATATATGTATTTTATTCATGGTCTCAAGTATGAATTTTTTGATGAAATATTTATGAATTTTACAGTTCATAAATAGAAGTTCCCCAATTCTTAAGACTAAGATTAAACAATAATTTCAAGAAAGAGCTATTCGTTAGCAGGCTGTTCTTAATATATTTAATACCTTGTAATTTTCATTAAAATATGACTGAGCAATAAAACTAAAACTTCAACTAATTCTCATAGAAATTTCTAAATATGGCAGCTATCAAAAGAAAACAATTTTTTTTTTTGCTTTTGTTTCCTTTTGAAGTTGTTTAGAGGTACATTATCAAACCTTACTGATTAACAGGGAAGAAGCAAATTATATAGCTTTTAACCAAAATATGCCTAATGTTGACTTTTGTTTTGATAATTTTATTAAGATATTAAAACTGCTTTAGGGTAGGGTTTTAGTTTAAAAAAAGAAGTACTCTCTAAGTAAGTCACATTTAAAATTCTAAAGGTTTTTAAAGTAGAATCTCAACATTCTAAGCAAATTAAAATTGAAAGTATATATATATTTACTTGCTAATTTACAATACAAATTTGAAAAAGCTCATTTACCTACTTTGCTAAGGACAGAAAAGCATTGTATTCACTGAACTCAAGTAGAAAGTTTACTTTTCAGATACCTTTAGACTGTTAACATAAAATATTTCATATTTGGATCGATGGTTAGAGCAAACAATATAGTCTTTATGTTCAACTTTTAGAAAGGGGCAAGATGTTAGGAGGTTTAAGTAAGTAATGCCTAATCTCCTAATTCATGTCAAGACTAATTTAAACTCTTCTGATTAATTAGTAGGGGAGATATGCTTTCTACATGTTAAGTTGCTGAATATTTTTTAAAAACATCTGGCACATATACCTCTGGTAAAATTGTATAATTTACTTTTACTATAAGATATTCGGGCAAGTAGTTACAGTGACTACACAAACTAGTGCAGATAATTGCATATCTTATTAAATTAGAATCCCAACAAGCCTGAGCAACCCAACTCTGCAATAACATAGGAGACCATTAAAGATTAAAAGAAAGAAAAATAGGAAGAAAAGAAGAACAAGAAAGCCCTTCAGCAAATACTTTAACAAATAAATCACTCAGGCAAAGCCAAACAAGTTTTGAAAGGGCCTGCTTTGACAGATGTTCTCTGGAAAAGCAAAGGCTTCAGGCATAACAAATGGTTTTATTATTATTTTTTAAAGCTATGGAACATTATTAATGTTGTTTCTGTATTTTTCAAGTATTATTTATAACCACTGTTCAGGGACTCTCCCCTACTGCCACTTCAAGACACTTATCAAGGTATTTAATGCTCATTTAGATTTGCTGCAAGTATAAAATTAATCACAAAAGCAATTTTGCTCCCTCACTTAGGGAATAAAACTTCCTAAAAAATTTTATAAAGCATCAAGGGTCACTGCATCTTTTAAAGCTGTTAAAAATCATCCATATTGCTTTTACAACAGGGCCTATATACAATTCCTGCTATAAATGCCCACATAAGAGTTGAAGCAAAATTTAAGAGTTCTTATATTTATCTGTATGAATAAGATTTGATGACGGTTGGTATTCATAAAATTCAAAATGCAGGTATTCTGGATAAAACCTGTTTACAGAAAATCAAATTCCAGAAAATGATCATGCAAAGTGTACTTACCAGTGCTTATGCCTTCCCTTCACCTAACGCTTGAATTCTAGGCTTCCAGAAATTTTTCTATCTTTCCAATTAAAAACGCTGCAGCCTGCTACACTCCATAAAATGGCCGCGTTGTTTAACCAAGAAAAACATGTTAGAGATTGAGCTGTCACTTTTAGAAGAAAAAAAGAAAATAAACAATTGCTTCTTTTGTGGTGAAGCATAAAACACTTAGGCTGGCATTTTGAATCATGGAGCTCCCCTGGCCGTTGCTATTGCTCTTCAAGTAATTGTAGTAAAATTTCTGCCACATTCTTGCTTTCTGCATGGTGTCTCAGCAGTAACAGATCTGAACAGGCTAGCAAACAACTCCTTCCCAAATGTAAGCTCTAATTTCTTCTTCTGCAGTGAAATGAACCAAGTTTCTATGCAAAAGAATGAGTGACAGTACTCCCAACCAATCAGCTTGGGTTTTTCAAGAAAATCACCCCTTAATTCATTCAAAATTAGGTCATATGACACTATTTGAAATACTATTGGCTTACAATGAAAGAAATGTTCGACTTTACACAGGATAAGGCCACCCATCTATGCTTCCCTGGGCTAAAGACAACTTGACTATAACCGGTACTGTGAATTAAATACACACACACATACAGGGGGAAAAAAGAATAAAGCCTTACCAGAGCTTCCCAACTATTAAAGGGCCGGAGTTCTGTTATCTTCTGAGCCTTTTTCTGAGAACACTGAGGAATCAAAGTAAGTTCACCAATCGAAGCATCTTGAAGAAAGTGAAGAATTTTACCTTTATATCCATCCTCCATCACTTCTTCACCACTACTATAGTCCTCATCTAGTGAACTACCGACATCAGAACCTGAATCATATTCAGAGTCTTCAACAACTCTCTTTGGATTAAATACATTTTTTTTACGTTTCTTGTTAAAGCCATTTTGCGCTTTCATTGAAAATTTCTGTTTTAGTTTTGTTTTAGTTGGATTTTTAGGATAATTTTGACTCCTTGAAGAAACTTCTTTTCCATTTGGAACCTCACTTTGTGATGCATATTGCATATCTGTATGCAAAAGACAAAAACAGAAACTAAATTACAAATACATAAATTAAATATAAAGGTAGATTTTAAATAAAAACTTAAAATATTCACCTATTCCTTTTGAATACGAAGAATTCAACCACAATTTATTAAATACTGATACACTTTAAATAGAAATACTGAAGTAGAATTTGAGGTTAAAAATAAGTTTCAAAAGCAGGTGGTAACTTGATTTTAAAATGAATTAAATGTAAATTTCTATTTTCCGACAAAGGTCCTGAGAACATAAATGGCAACTGCATATCCCTATGATGTCCCAGATATTCCGAGCAGCCCCACTCACTATGCCAATGCTGAAGAAAATAGCAAAAATGATGCTTACCCCACTATAAAGCTTACAAATGAAAAGTGTGTATGTTTCAACTATCCATAATTTTTCAATACTATCTTCAGTATTCTAAGTTTCATCGTTGCTTAAAAAATTATTCAAATACAGTATTATCAAAAAGCCACATTCCTTATCACTGACTAATCTATCCGTTTACAGAATTCTAAGATGCCTGTGAATGAAGGTACACCATTATTTTATGTACCAGTGAGAAAACATGCACCAATTAATCTATAACACAATACTTTATTCAGAATGTTTTACTTACTCAGAAAGCTATTAGACTTACACAGATTCATACCTTTATTTTTGTGCATTTATAAAAAAAATAAGTAAAATACATTGGCTAAAGTATTCCTCAAATTTTTTCACATTCGTAACATGGCTTTTCTCATCCATTTTTCAAACTCAGATTTGGTAGCTTTCTTTTTGCCACGGAATATAATTTTCTGTGCCATCAAGAGTATTGGTAGTATAGCCTTTCTTTTAAAACAATTTATTTAAAAAAATCAAATCCAAAACACCTAAAGCTACCATGCTGGGCTTTGAAAGCTGGCTTTGCAATTATGAAGAGCTAGTCTACTTGATTCTTCCTTAGGTATGTTACTAA